GAAAGTGGTCTTAAATTAATATCTGATGCACCAATACCACAAAAGTCATACAAATATATAACAACAATAATGTGAACTATGATCTTTAAATATTATTCAGCTTCAAAACATTTCTACATTTTATAAAAATGTTACATCATTTCACATTCATACTATTACTTTATACATTTAAAAAATAAAAATTTCAAATTATTCAACGATCTAGAATATTATAAAGAGCATCAGCAGATTTATTTATATTAAAATGTGAAATATATTTATTCAATCCTACATGTTGTAGTTTGTAATATAATGTAATTTAATTTCAAGAGAGTACAAAAGGTGTTTTGAAAATACCTTGGAGAAGTGATTTTAAAAAAATCTAGATGAGAGATTACAGAATTTAGATAAAAGAAAATGAAGTATAGTGAAAGGAAGTGATTGGGAGGAAGAATGGAAAATAAGCTATGCATGCATGGTTACTCTCGAAGTTGATGAATGAGGAGGAGATAAGGATGAGAAAAGCTCATTCGGTGATCTGTTGGGAATTTTAAACAATAAAATGTCAAGTAAAGAAACCATGAATTGATATACTAGTCATGTGGAAGAATGAAGTAGAGATGAACTTTGAGGGGCATATGTCAGGCTTCGCACTCGATAATAATTACTTTTAAAAACGTAGCAAAAAGTTGCTTTAAAACTAAAAAAAGTAGTAAAAAGTAGCTATCGAAAAATTAAATTTGCCAATTAAAAAAAAAACTCGATTGAATCGATTCACAAAAATTTGATTCAGTATTTCCTACTTTTGGAAAATAATTTAAATAATTAAATTTTTATGTTAAATATTTAAATATTATTATACAGTTTTACAAAAATCAAAATATTCAAAGACAAACCATTTAAAAATCTTTTGAAATTTAATTATTTCTAGAAAATCCTTTTTTTATAACGCTTCAAATATTAAATTTTTATCTAAAATTTTTTCTTACATTCATTTTCAATTCAATTCTTGTTAAAAAATTCTAGGACGATTAAATTATTTAAATACAAAAGTAAATAATTGACTGAATAATATTGATTATTTCATAAAATTAAATGTTTATTAAAGTATTTTATCAAAATTTAAAAAAAATAATTGCATTCTTTGAGGAATTTATTTAAAATGTTTCGAAAAATTGAATGAAAATTGTATTCTAAATAATTGTAAATTTGTGAAAATGTTATTATTTGTGAAAATAATTGGAGTTTTTGCAAAGAATTTTATTACATTTTTTCAAAATAATTGAATTCTTTTGTAAAAATTTTATTAAAATAAGTAGTTGAAATTAATTTAAAATAATATGAAAATAATTGAATCGTTTCAAAGAATTTTATTCAAATTTTCGATAATAATTTATTTATTTCAATTATTAGCGAACTTAAAATAGTGTAAATTCTATAATTTTAACTGAAGTTCATTTTTAAATAAATTCTTGTTAAAAAGTTGTACGAAAATTCAATTATTTTAATACAAAAATAAATAATGGTTTGAATAATTCATTATTTCTTAAAATTTAATTTCTTATAGTATTTTATCAAAATTTTAAAAAATAATTTTAAAAAAAATTTTAAGAATAATTGAAAAAAAATTTTTTAAGAATAATTGCATTTTTTGAGTGAATTTATTTTAAATTTTCAAAAAATTAATTGAAAATTGTATTTCAAATAAATTGAAATCTTATTCATGAAAATAATTCAATAGTTGCTAGGAATATTATTAAAATTTTCAAAAATAATTGAATTCCTGAAAAGAATTTTATTAATTTCGAAAATATAATTAAATTATTGCGAAAAATTTTATTAAAGTGTTTAAAGAATTGGATTTTTGTGAAAAATGTTGTTATTTTTGAAAATAATTGAATTCATTAGAAGAATTTTATAAATATTGTTTTAAATAATTAATTTTTTCGAAATATAATAAATATTATGAAAATTATATTTTAAATAATTGAATTCTTGTGGAAAACTTTTATTTGTGAAAATAATAGAATTTTTCGATTAAATAATTTAAAATAGTATGAAAAATAATTGAAATTCTTCGATAAGTTTTATTAATTATAAAGATAATTGAATTTTTGCTTAGAATTTTATCAATTTTTTTTTTAAATTAAATTTCCATGAAAAATGTTATTATTAGTAAAAGTAATTGAATTATTGTGAAGAATTGTATAAAAATTTTGTTAAATAATTGATTTTTCGAAATCTTTTTATTAATTGAATTCCTATGGAAATTTGATTATTTATGAAAATAATTGAATTTTGGATGAATTTTATCAATTTTTATTTTAAATAATTGAATTGTTTTAGTAAAATTTTATGAAGATAATTGATATTGAAAATAATTGAATTTCAGCGAAGAATTTCATTATTTAGGAAAATAATTATTGAATTTTTGCCAAAACAAAATTCTTAAAATTTTGGAAAATAATTGAATCATTTCAAAGAATTTTATTCAAATTTTCGAAAAGAATTTGTTTATTTCAATTATTATCGGACTTAAAGTAATCTAAATTCTAAAATTTTAACTGAAATTAATTTTTAAATAAATTCTCGTTAAAAAGTTGTACGAAAATTCAATTATTTAAATACAAAAATAAATAATGGTTTGAATAATTCATTATTTCTTAAAATTTAATTTCTTAGTATTTTATCAAAATTTAAAAAAATAATTGAAAATTTTTTTTTTAAGAATAATTGCATTTTTTAGTGAATTTATTTTAAATTTTCATAAAAATGAATGAAAATTGTATTTTAAATAATTGGAAAACTGTAAAAATGTAATTATTTATGAAAATAATTGAAGTTTTTGTAAAGAATTTTATTAAATTTCTTTTAAAATAATGTAAAAAAAAAGTTGAATTCATCGAGCTTTTTGATTAGCAAATTCAATACTTTTAAAATAAAATTTTCATTTTTGATATATCAATTGACTCTAAAAATGTCTTGGTTTAAAGCTTGACATTTGAAAATTATGCTCGCAATCGATTCCATATATGAAATTCAGTGTATTGACCTCAATGTTTCTTTCAATAAATTTCAATACAAAATTTCTTCAATGTATCGAATATTTAAAGAGATTTTTAATTTTAGTACAGTCTCACCGGCATTGGAATTTATAAATACTTAGTAATTTTAGTATGCCATATGTCACATGGTAATCTTCCACTGATAGTGGTCTTTCTTGTATATATTCTCAGTTCAGAAACTTTCGGAAATTATGAAGCTCATAATTCAAAATTGTTCCTGTAAAGTTTCATACAGACATTTTGCGAAAGTTTTTGATTAAGTTTCAAGTGACAAAATTAAGGTAAATTGAGAAAATTAAAAATTTTTTTTGTCCGCCATATTGGATCCGCCATTTTGAATTTTTGAAAACTAACATCAAATTTGTAATCAGCGACCTCAAAAATCTCCGAGTAACAAAATTTAGACGATTTAAAAAACATTTTGGTATTTTGAAAAGTAGTGACCAATTTTTCAAATTTTACTTCATATTTGACGCCATATGTGGTCCGCCATCTTGAAATTCTATTCATAAAAGCATAGGTTGAAATTACTCAAAGAATTTTCTTGTTTTGGGCGTTAATTGGTTAAAATTCAATATGGCGTCTGTCAAAATAAAAAATTTATCATATTTGCCTGAAAATGGTTACTCAGGGGATTTCGAGGGCGCTGATTACGAATCTGATGTTAATTTTTCAAAATTCAAAATGGTGGATCCAATATGGCGGCTGTTAAAAATTAAAAATCCATCGCATTAGGCTAAAAATGTTTACTTATAGGTTTTCGGAAACGCCGATTACTTATCTATGTTATTTTTGCAAAAGTCAATGTCAAAACCTAATTATATTAGTATGCAGAATACTATTAAAAAAGAATGATTCTTTTAAAAATAAAAAAATTTAAGCTAAGTTTTTTTTTAATATTAAAGAACGAATCGTTGATGTTGAATCAAAACGCATAAATTTAGCGAGTTTATTACCAGAGAAATTGATTGTAATTTTTTTTTTGTCCTACCTGCACGAAAAGTATGTCATTTCGGGCACTTAAAGTGGGCGCAAAGTAACTTATTCTCGCCCGGGGCCAGGGAAGCGGTCGCAAAAGTTCTTTTACGCCCGCTGACGTCACACAAGCGGGCGCAAAAGTACTTTTGCGCCCGCTTCATCTAGCCCGAGCGGGCGCAAAAGTACTTTTACGCCCGCTTGCTGTACTTTTGCGCCCGCTTCGCTCGTGCCCTCGATGCCATACTTTTCATGCAGTTAGGACAAAAAATTATGTTCGCAACATGGGCGCAAAGGAGATTACGACTTTGGCGAGATTTCGGGACCTCAGGGACACTTTCGCACCCTCGGTCCCTTCATCTCGCCATCGCCGCAATCACCTATTTTGCGCCCTTGATACGATAATAACTATTCTTTGTTGTTTTTTTTTAATTGAGACTGAAGATGTAAAAAAAATTTTGAATTCAAGTCCACAGAATGTTTTTTTTTGTCATTGAGTTGTGAATAGCTCATCGTAATTGTATAAAAATATACCAGTACTTAATTAACCGTAAAAATGAAGCTTTATTTTCATGTTCAATGACCTGGGTCACTGTCTCTAAAAATGCTGTAAGAGTAGTTCGTTGTCGCAACAGATGTATACCGTAGATTAAAGTCTTCAAAATATAAAATACTTTTAATTTTCAACAACGATTTAAATCTTTTCTTATAAGAATTAAATTAAAATTACAAAGGAAATATTAAAATTTTAGAGTCAAACTAACTTCCTTTCCAATATTTATTCCAGAAGTAAAAATGTTTTTTAACAATAAATTACAATTCTCCTTGAAAAAAATATTATTTTATTGTATAAACTGATGGGAACAAATAAAAAAATTTAGTCAATGAAAATTTAATGAAATTGGCAAAATGGTTTTACTTTTTTTTTTCTAGAATAATTATAAAAAATTAGGAAAAAGAATAAATAAAATAATAACTTACGGTAAATAGATTTTAAAAAAATTGTAATCCAATTTGAAGAAGTATTATTACATCACTAAAGTTTCACTGAATTGTTTTAAAAAATTTGATTTTCACTTGTGCACGTGGTGCATTATTCACAATAAGAATTGAACATTATCAAAAAAGATCTTGTCTTAGCGGGTCTCGCACGAAGACTGAATAAACTTAGGAAACCGCACTGGTTTCAAGCATCAAGTAACGAGTATCGCACCGCCATGTGCGACTATAGTGCACGACGGTTGACTATTACCTAACTCTGTCCCTGAGACTGAAAATCTCACCGGTCAATCTTATTATATGAATACAAAAATGTATCGCCCTATTCAATCGATTTCATTACAGTCTTCATTCATTAGAAAATTAAAATCTCAATTTTTACAGTTATCATAAAGGGAATTTTAAAGAATTACATTTTTTCTTATTTCTTTAATAAGAATTTTTCATTATTTCTTTTGTTTACTTTATTTATTTCAATTTTTAGATTATTATTATTATTATTAATATTATCATTATTAAAGGGTAGAGGGTCCCAAGGTGGCCACGATAAAATTATAATGTTAATTAATATGCTTAATCAATGTGTTATATATAATTTTTTAAACTTTTAAAAAATGTCATCCTGGCCCTAAGGTGGCCACCATGCGTTTTCATGTAAAATCACTTTTGAATTTTTTAACGATGTAATATTTATCAAAATATATTATGGAAAATGTAAATTTTATCGATTTGGAAAATTTTATGATGAATAATAAAATAATTTAGTTCTTAATGTATGAAATTGAATAAATAATTAACAATATGTTAGAATGGCTTCTTATAAGCAAAAAACAGAATTTGCAACTATTGATTCTGTGCTTATAAGCCAAAAGAAATACATTTCTTATATAAATACCTTAAATTGATTTTTGCAACTATTTTTTTAATTTTTCAATGAATTTTTGAATGGTGGACACTACTTTGGGCCACTTTTTTTTAAGCAAAATTTCAGCTATTTTTCAAAAGTCGCCTAAGTTCTATTTTCCTTAGTAAAATAAAAAAATTTATTGCTAAAAAGTTACCTAAGAAGATACAGTTTCAGGGCATCTATTATTAATTATGTTATATAATACCTTTTAGGAATTACAGTCATTCAAAAGATGGGTGGCCACTTTGGGGCTTCTTACCCTATTAATTTGATATTAATTAACAATAATATTAGCGTGGATGTCACAGTTACCGTCCACTTTTATTTTAATAACAATAATTATAAAAAAATTATTTCCTTAAATCTGTTTAGGTGAACTAATAATAATTTCACTCTCAGGGTTGCCACGCTTTTGCTCATTTCAAATTCCCTGACTTTTCAAGGTTTTCCAGGTTAGAAAACGGAATTTTTCCAGGTTTTTAAAACTACATTTATATTTAACAAAATTTTTATTTTAAACCTTCTTGAAATTAAACATCTTATAAAAAATTGATATAAAACATGAAAATATCGATAACTCCGAGTCTTCGACTCGGAGTGATCGATATCTTCATGTTTTATAATAATTAAAAATGACCGACTGGTAAAATCATTACTTTATATTATAAAAATATTGCTATTCTAACTTACTTATTATATTAGAAAATAAAAACTTCAAATAACTTAAAAAAAATTCAATTGAACTTTTTCAAAAAAAATTTAATCTACACAAGTTTCAGTTAAAAGTATGAAAAATTCAAACATTCAAAGATCAAAATTCAATTATCTACAATTTTAACTGAAATTCATATTTCAATCAATTATAATTAGAAAATTCTACGACAATTCAATTATTTAAATACAAAAATAAGTAATTTTTAAATAATTGAATGTTTCTTAAAATTCAATTCCTATAAAGAATCGTTATCAACAAATTTTCAAATAATTGAATTCTATCAACGAATTTTAACAAATTTTCTAAGAATAATTACATTTTTCGAGAAATTCGATTAAAATTGTATTAAAAATAATTGAAATTCAGCAATGAGTTTTATTATTAGTGAAAATAATTGAATTTCTAAGAAGAATTTTATTACTTTTGAACAATATTTAATTTTTGCGAAGAATATTATTACTCTTGAAAAATAATTGGATTTTTGCAATAATTTCTAACTTTTACAAAATTGAATTTTTTTTCGTGTTTTTAACTAAACATCTTTTATAAATTTATTATTTTTAATTAATTTTTGAAAAAGTTCTTTAATATTTATAAAAATAATTGAATCTCTGTGAAAATAAATTGAATATTTTTGAAAATAATAGAATTATTGCAAAGAAATTTATAAAAATTTTGTAAATAATTAAATTGCTGTGAAATATTGGTTATTTATAAAAATAAAAAAAAGTTTGCTTAGAATTTTATCAAATAATGTTTAAAATAATTCTTTTCTTTTGGAAAATTTTATTAAATTAGTAGATATTGAAAATCATTGAATGGAGGAGAATTTTTGAAAAAAAAATTGAATTTGTTAAAAAGAATTTCATTAAAATTTTTGAAAATAATTGAATTTTGCAGAAAAATTTTAATATTTATAAAGATAATTGAAATTTTGACGATAATTTTTTCAAACTTTTGCGACCATAATTAAATTTTTGCGAAGAATTTTATTACTAAATAATTGAATTCTTGAAACGAATTTTATTAAAATTTCTTTTTAAATAATTGAATTCTTTTGTGAAATTTTATTGAAATAGTAAATATTGAAAATAATTGAATTTTGATAAATTATAGAAATTAATGAAATTTCAACGAAGAATTTTATTAAAATTATTTTGAAAATAAATTAAATTGTGAAAAAGAATTTGATTAAAATTTTTGAAAATAATTGAATTCTTTCAAGAAATTTAATTAAAAATGTATTGACAATAATACATAAATTCTAATAAATAAATTACAGGAAGGCTTTTTAAAAGAATTGAATTTCTTTGATGAATTTTAATAAAATTTTTACGAATAATTACATTTTTCGAGAAATTCCATTAAAATTGAATTAAAAATAATTGAAATTCTGCGATGAGTTATATTATTTATGAAAATAATTGTAAATCTATAAAGTTTTTTATTATTTATGAAAATAATTGAATCTCTGTAAAAAAAATTTGATTATTTATGAAAATAATTGAATTCTTGCGAAGAAAAATTGTGAAGGCAACCCTTTTAAAATTGTATTAAGAAAATTGAATTAAAGAAAAATTATATTTCAAGAATAAGCACAATAACTTTAGAAAACAATAATTTTCCAGGATTCCAATCAAAATTCCCTGACCCTTCTAGGTTTTTTCAAGGTTTATAAAATTCCCAAACATTTCCTGGTTTTCCAGGTTGAGTGTCAACCCTGCACTCTAAAACAATATTAATATTAAACTATTTTCAAAAATTAATTTAAATAAAAGAAATTTTAAAAATGGACGAAAAGTAGGGTCTTCACGGTATAATTAATTTTATTGAAATTAAAAGTGTATTTTTTCGAAAAATTTTTTGATTGCTAATAACTGGAATATTTTGATTAACCAGAGAAACTGGTGTTAAAAAAATTTGTCAATATTTTACAAAAAATTATTACCAACAACGTAAAAATAATGAAAAAAAAAGAAATTTCCTTTTTTTATACGAATATGATTCTTTTCTTTATACCTACTCTCGCTTCTCGAATTTCCTTTTACGAGCGCTCCGCATGACACAGGCCAACTTGTTTGTTTCTGAATTTCCAATATACATGATTCTAAAATTCTTCTCTCCTTTCGTTTCGTCCTTGAAAATATTCAACTCAACCCCTTAAATATTTAAACTGAAAAATTGCAATAACAAAAGAAATTACATATAAATAGTAAAAACTTGACTTATATAACTATTATATAATTATTTTTGACTTCATTGCATTAGAAAATGAATTTAACTTTACTATGTGTTTCAATACCCTGAAAATGGATGGTCTTTCAATTTTGACCAGTACTGTAGAAAAACTGGATTTTAAACTTTGTAGAGCGCTTAGAGAGTCCGAAAAAATGAGAAAATCTTATAATTTTCTGTCTAGGAGTTTAGAATTAAATATTTATAAAATTCTTTTCACATGAAAATCTCTATCAATTATTTGGAGACTAATTCAATCAAATTCTCTTGCCGGAAAAATCTTATAATTTTCTATTCATAAACGTTTTGATTAACCATCCGTTGACACACTTCTTTTTTGCCACGCTGTTGACACAGTGAGGGTCAATTTGACACACTCTTTATCATCATGGCATTTGATAACACTTAGTCGATCTATTAAAATAAAATAAATAATAAAATTAAATAATATTCAATCAAAAAAACAAATTTAAAAGATTTTTGAAATTTAAAAATTTTGTATTGTTTTTTAAATCGGTCAAACTACTTTTCCATTTAAAAATTTTTTAATAGTGTTTTTGTTACTTTTATTATTTGGTAAGAAAATTTATGCTTAAATTTTTAAGTTCTGAGCAATGTACAGACAAAAGTTGAATTTTATTTATATAGATATAATATTAAACTAAATTTTTTTAATATGAAACTTAATTCATTTATAATCTACCTTAAAATTCGTCTTATTCGATTCAAATGATGCGAATTGAAAAATTATTGTCATCTATTTTTAGTTCTTACAAATGTCGAGGGTTATTAATGCCCATTCATTTCTTAATTAATGATGTACTCTGACGATTAATTTTCCGACAGACACCATTGAAACTTGACTTTTGATAAACCGGTTGTACTGAGAAGAGCACTCTCAAACAAATAATAACGAAATTACAATCGAAAATTTTCACCAAGACAATAATTTCCTCCATACGAAAGCAAAAGAAAAATCAAACAAAAGTCTTAAGTTAAATTCCATATATGGAAAAATATTTATGTTATAATTTTAAAATTTTAAATTGATTTTTATACCTACTATTCTAATAAAAATTTGTTTAAATAATTGAATTCTTTTGAAAAATTTTATTAAATAGCAGATAATGAAAATCATTGAATTGAGAAAAATTTTTGAAAATAATTGAAATTTTGCCAAGAATTTTATTATTTATTTAAGACGAAATTATTGTCAGAAATATTAAAAATTGAAGTTTTTTTATCAGAATTCGTGGTAATTTCATAGTTTATGAAACAAACAAAAAAGACACCAAAATTCAAATTTTTCTTATGAATTTTAAAAATTTAATTTTTTCCAATACTTTTTATAAAAATCCTGGACTTTT